AGCAATGGAAGCCAAGAGAAAGGAGCTGTAGAGGCAGCTCTTAGCCAAGAGCTCAGAGCTCCAGCATTGTGCATGCCCAAGGAGAATGAGGACTAAGGAGAGACGGGTGGATTTAGAGATGAGGCACCTTCTCTGCTACCACCCGCTATGCCTCCCAGCCAGGTCTTCCTCCTGACACCGCCACTTCTCTCAGACAGCCCATTCTCATCTTACCTACAGTCATGCGCCCCCAAACCCTGTTGATCCCACTTCTACACCCTCATCAGTTGGACTCATTCCATTCCAGTCGCCCTTGCCTTACACTAAACTGACCATCTCCCAACCTCCTTGGTATTCCTTCTCCACTCTGACCTGTCCACTCCTGCCAAACGACTCTTCCTAAAGCTGAGCTCCAATCATGGTGTCCTCTACTCAAAGACCCCCAATGACTCCCCATTACCTACTGTGTAAATGTCAAATTCCTTATAGTCACTCAAAGCTCTTATTTGCAGCTTACCCCTTACCCCTAGGGCATCTCCTACCATGCCCTTACGGCTATAGACCAAGCTTTTCTCCCTAATTGCAGTTATTACTCTCAGGCCACTCACTGCATTCTGCCTCAGACCAGAGACAACTATTTATTTCCCTGTAAGCAGTACTAGCCCACTTGCGCTCCCTGCCAGTGGTTGTGTCTCTCTTGCACAGCTCTGGGCTTATTACATTCTTCTCTGAGATGTCTGTCCCATTAAGGCCACTCTTATGGGTAGGAGGGGAGTCTCCCCCGGAAGGGGTGGCCGATCACCTAGAGGCCGTGAGAACAAAGACAGAAAGGACACCTTGGCGGCCCAGGAGGAAAGGGAACTCCTCCCTTTCACGGTGTTTCCAGGTTGGAATTTGAGGGGTGTGGATATGCCGGAGAGGGCTCCTAAGTGATGACGATGGCCTCTGCCACGAGGAGGAACTTGGAGGGCCAGCACTAGAAGGGACCCCAGCTTGAAGACAAGAGGCCTTTCTCTCAGCAAATCTTTACCCAACACTTACCACACACCATGCTCTGTGCCACCTGCCAGCAGGGGTGGAGTGGTAAGCTGGCTCTTCAAAAAGAAAAAGCCCTGATTTATAGCACCTGCCTATTTCTGTGGTGTTAACATTCCTACCATTGCTGATTTCAAGCTAGCCAGATGACGTTGCTGAATGTGAAGCTGGGAAGAAATACGTGCAACCAGCCCCAGCACACCACTGGTGGGGACAGAGCTACCAATAAGGACAAGTAAGTGTGGCGTGGAGCTTAGCCTAATGGCATCATGTTACCGCTTTACTTCTGTGGTAGCTTCCACTGCCATCTTGGCAGATCTAGATGTGATGCATTAAGTCCGTGTTTTCCCTTATTTTCTTCTGTTGGCTGTGAGGCCAGTAGGGCGGGAACCTCATCTCACACTTGGCTTTTCCTCACAGCACGGTGCCTGCTCTGGGGAGGCACTCCAGACTTGTTGGCAGCTTGACTTCTGGGGCAGGGAGAGGAGGAATATCTGCTGAATGGATACGTATGCACTGAGGACACACCCTCCTAGACCTGCCACCCACCTGAGGAGGGGAAGCAACGGCAAGCCACAAGTCAGCTTCGAGAAGCACAGGGTCGGCCTCTGGTACAATTACAAAGCAGGAAGCTTATCTCCAGCCTTCTCCACTCTCTAACCAGCGCCCCCTTCCCATCTCCTGGCCCCTTGCCCCTGGCTGGTTCTCAGGCCTGACCTCAGTTCTGTCCCCACCCTCGCTAAGGTCTTCAGTGGTTATGCTGAGAGTAGGCGCTCTGACCTCCAAAACCGTGTGGAGTCAAGAGTTGTCCCTGGCTTCTCAAAGGGGTCTGTGACCACCCTTCACCCTCAGTCCTAACTCCAGAAACGTTTAATTCTCTGGCTTAAGCTGTGACCTTTAGGAAGTATGTGTGGACTCTGGTCACCCTCAGGGCCTTCCATGTAGAGGGACCCTGAGTGAACCTCCACAAAGGGATTAGTGTGTGTGTGAGAGAGAGAGAAAACAGTCCTGAGTGCACCATGGCCCAGGGCTGTGCACACACCATGCACTGCAGCCTGCCACACTCACACTCCCACACCAGGAAAGCAAAGCTGCCCCCTCCCCCGCATGGCGAGCACAGCCAGAGGCAGCTCCCAGCCCCGGCCCTGGCATGACGATGTGACTGTCTCTGGGCTGGCCAACATGGCCATCTGCTTCCATTTCTAAGAGGGCTGAAAGGGCACTTTCTATCAAAGCCATAGACCCTGGTCCTTAATGCGCAAGACTGGGACACGCACAAGCCCCATGAATCAGGTTCCTTCTCTCCATCCACTCTCCTCTTATTTCAATACTTCCACCACAGAGCCCACAATACTTCAAAGATGAAGGCTTTATTTTCTCCAGCTCCAGTGTCACAGCTGTAGCAGCATATCAGAAACATCCCCACACATGAACACACACTTCTCCCCTTCTTCGAAGGGCTGGCAACAATGCAGAGGCAGAAACAATGATATTCAGTACAGGCATTGAAGAAACAACACTTGCTCACCCTTGTACATTGTGCGTCTGGCGGGTAGGAAGCAGCAGTACATTCGCATTTAACAGGCACGATCATCCTTAAATACAGTGAAACACAACCTTATTGGCATAAGAATGTGCTGGAGATGCAGCTCTAGGGGGACTGTGGAGGACAGCCCTGGGAATAAGACATCAGCATTAAAAAAAAAAAAATAGAAACCACACGAAAGGATGTAGGCCAATCAATAGCTAGATTCAATCCAAAGTTAAGAAAAAACGGTCACAGATTGAAGATTTATCCCATTTGGAAAAAAAATCAATTTTCTATTCTAAACTAAAATTAAAACTATGATCTACAAGTGGCTGAATCTCAAATCATGGTCTGGGCAGAAGGGTTCACGCACGTGCACACACACACAGTGTCACTGAGTGCTGTACTCAAGTTGCATTGCCTGGCTGCAGATGTCACTCCAAAGACACTAATGACCAAGGACATGCCATGATGAGATTAAGCTGGTCATCACTGCAGGTGGGAGGTGGGGAGAAATTTTCCTATTTAGTACTTCTCAATGTCAAAGTCGGAATCAACAACTGGACTGCAGTCTGCATGGGGCAACAATGCAAACTTTGGGGAGATCAATTCCCACAAAATCAACAACCACATGTACTTGTTTAGTGCTTCACAACTTTCAAAGCTTTTTCAGCTCCATCGCTCATCCAGCCTCACGAAGACCCAGTGGGAGGGCAGGACAGGGGCACCCCCCATTTCCCAGTGAGGAGGGCCTGGAGCAGATCTTCCAACCCTGCCCATCGAGCTCTGAAGTCCACTTCCTCCCTCTCCTCCTTACATCCCCTGACCCAAGGGAGTTTCCCCAGAGAAGTAAACAGTTTCTTTTCTGAATACCATCAAATACAAAATCCCATAGGAAATAAGGAATATTTTGCAGCAGTGTGGCGTATCTTAAGTGGATGAAAAGGGATGGTTGGATAATTATTTTAAATTTGATCTAGTTTTTCTTCCACTGGCAGAATTGAACAGTAACGCAGGGCATGCTTAGAGAGCAGATGTAAACACTGCCCATAGAGGATGGTCTCCACAGCTTTCTGCATCCCCAAGTGAGACAGAAGCAAACCGCAACTGGTTTCCACTGAGGGGTTAACTCTAAAGTGGGACAGGTCAGCAGCTGAGCCCCAGCCCAGGAGCAAGGCCCTGCTGGTGGGGCACATGTGGGAGCTGCCCGACGTGGTACTCTCCTGTCCCCGACGCGAAAACTACTCCTGAGGCAGGGGTAGTGTGTGCAGGGTCCCAAGATGAGACTGTCCCAGTGCCACCTGAGTTCTTCCCAGGAAGTAACAGCTGCTGAAGGAGCCCGGGTCTGAGCCTTAGCAAGACGCACGATGTTGACCTTGCCTGAGGCAAAGGGTGAAGGGCAAAGGGTGAAGGTCAGGACCAGGCCCACTAGAATAAAAACACATGTGCTTCCTGCTCATTTTTAAAGAAGGGCTCTAAAAGGAAACTGTAGAGCCACTTGGTCTTCCCTGGGAGAGAGTTCTGGCAGCCAATCAGGGGGCGAGGCTCAAGGAAACAAGCTTGTATTTTCCCTGAGTGATAATCTGGCTCGCCTGGGATGCATCATGTCAGAAAACAAGGCAGTCGGACCTCCCTTTCTCAGCTGACACAGACCAAGCGAGGCAGAAGGTAGCCCAGAAAGGCATCCTGACTTGTGCATGAGGGTCCTGGCCTGTCACTGTGCGGCGAGAGGCTCCGTGACGGGGGAATTCATGGTGGGCAGGGGGATAGACAAATACCACTGACACACCTGCCACGTTTTTTAAAATCCCTAAAACTGCACAGGGAAAGAGAGGAGATCAGGAGATTTAGTCACAACACACACAGACAAGAATACCTGAAGTGCCTGAGTTAAAAGGCTGATGCAGAAACAAGTCCTAGGATAAAGGCAGGATTTATCCTAACTGCCTGCCCAACGAGTAGCCAAATGGTGCCATGTCAAGGGCTTCTAAGTGCTGGCCCAGAGAGGCAGACACTCACGCCACCCACGACGAGGGAAGGCAAGGTCTCTGTAGGTGTAAGACGGGCCATCCCAGTTCTACTGGGAGCCAGCATGAGCCACCCTGCCACCCGGTACATATGAGTGTATGTGTGGGTGTGTATGTGCACAGACAGCAAGAGATCTTTGCTGTCCTGGAATTTTCAGGAAAGACAAAGTGAGAAGGCACACGAAGGTGACCAATTGAATAAAAGAAAAAAAAAAGTAGCTGGAAGTAATATATCATTATTGTGACTTTTTTCAATGTACCTTTTTTCCCCCATGAAAAGAGAAATTCAAAATATAAACTTTATATTTTATTATTTTACATTCAAGTGAAACTTCCGTCTGGGGGCTCAACACAATTTTAGGCCACTCTCAGCAATTTAGTACTCTGGTGCCTTTTTTATTTAACCCGATGGAAGAATTCAGCCCTCTATTTTTAAAAAACAGCTTTATATTCCCAGCTGTAACACTTAATTGTACACACGCACAGGCACACACACAAATCCAAAAACTTCTACATAGAAAAATAAAGGATAAACGTTATCCATCTATTTTAGACTGTGTACAGCAACTTTTATATACATGATTTTCTTGTTCTGTAATGTTTTCGGTCACTGCACATTTTCTTCCCTTCTGTGTGATCTACATTTCTAGGGGAGGAAACTGGCACAGTGAAGCAGAAACGCTACATTCCTCTTGGGGGGAGCAGAGAAAAGGCAATTTCTCACTCCCCTTCCAAGTCCCTCCCCGCCTACCCCCACCTCAGCCGGCCCTGTGGACGGATGGCCTCCCAGTAAGCGGCTGTCCGGTCCTCTCCTCTCTCTAAGGCGTCAGGGAGCGGAAGGCCCACCCTGCAGACACCCTGTGAGAATCATCTCGGTGTGAGGGCAAGGGAAGGGAAGCAGGCAGGGAAAGCCTTTTAAAATAAAAGATTCTGGAATCGCTTCCCACAGCCTGCTCCTTTAGTATGGAGTTCGATTCTCCAGCTGGTGCTTGGTGAAGAAGTACTTGAAAAACTCATAGACCGACCAGGAAATGGCCGTGGAGGGCATCTGGTAGATGACGCGCGCCTGCATGCCTTTGAAGTAGCCGGGCAGGCCGTTGAGCTGGTACACCGTCCGGAAAGCGTTGGCCATGCCCGACAGCCGGCCGCTGATGTTGGCCAGGTTGAGGGCCACATTCTCCTGAGTGTTGAGGAGGGTTTTGCACACATCCAGCGGGGTGGTGGCGGCCGCAGCGAGGGCGCCGGCCAGCCCGCCTGAGATGATGTGGGACTGCGGGTTGTAGCCCCGGTGAGGGTTGACCTGCTCCTGCAGGAACTCGTAGGTGATGAAGTGGATGGACTGGAAGGGAATGTTCATGGTCAGCTGCGTGCTGTAACTCCGGTAGAAGGCCCCCAAGCCCTCAGTCCTCCACACCGTCCGGACGCAGCTGAGGGCCGACCGGTGCGGCGAGTTGTACATCTGCATGCGCTGCTTCACCACTGTGGTCGGGGCCGCGGGCAGGCCAGACGCAGCCAGAGGGCAGTGGGTTGGGTTTGGCCCGACCCCGGGTCGGAGTGAAATGGAAAGCCAAGCCGTAAAGAGAAACAAGTAAGTTTAGACACACTGGCAAGAGGTCACAGAGAGCTAGCACACACAGCCCCAGCCCGAGACACCACAGAGGGCCAGCTCCAGGCAACCCCGCTTACAAATGGGGCTCCAGCACCCAGTGCCAGGAAGCGGACTATTTCCTGAAGTGTCTCCTGCCTGCATCTTGTTTAAGGTAGTCTCTGAACCAGGCAGCCACTTCAGACTACATTCACTGACCTGCTCCCCCCGGTCCTGGCTGCCTTGGGCATCGCACCTGCTGCAAATCTAAATCCTGGCCCCCTGCCCTCCTCCTTCCCAACATGTCGACCTGAGGCATGGATCCCATCCTTTATTCTCAGTGGTCTGTACCTCTGACAGTGTTTTTAGCTTCAGTGTCACATCACTCTTGGAAGAGACACTAGAATTAGGTCAGCCCAAGTTCAATGACAAACTCCAATGAAGACCCTGGCTCTGTTCAAAGGACCTGAGGCAAATGAGGGCCAACTGTGGTCACTCAGGCTTAGAGTTTTAATCGTCCCCATGCCATGCACTGTGAAATGGAAGGTGTGTACTGAAATGTACAGTGTGCTTTTCTTTTAAAGAAATAAAGTCCTTAAATCAATGTAATGTCAAGGAGCAGAGCGGGGAGCTGAACCCCACTTTCTTCCCCTTTAAAAAAACAGAAACAAAATTCTTCCCTGGTTGACATGGGCTAATTAACCGGTCGCTGACCAGGTCCCTGGGTGAATCGCCTTAAACACACAAGAAAGAAGCCACCTCCCAATCTGACCCATCACGTCCCCGAAGGTTAGAACAAGTCCCCTGTGTGCCAGGGTGTGGGAGGCAGCTGAGAGCAAATAAGAAATTTTAACCTTGAAAGACAAAAACAGACAAACTTATAAGACGAGGCTTAAAGTGTTGAAATTTTTACATCCAATCCTCCCTTCTGGCAAGGGACCATTTTCAGATGGGGGAGAGAGGTGGAGAGTCCCACCTCCCACACAGAGAATAACCCAGCTGAAAGACGCCCAGAACCAGGTCCAAAAGCTCCTCACTATGGAGACCCAAGTGGGCTAAGGACACGAGGACAGAGAAAAGGCTGACAGGATTCAAGTCTGCACGGCTAAGGATTGTTTCCTAATGCTCCCAAAATTCAAAAGAAAACAAAAAAGATAAGGTGGGAGAAGACAGCTAAAACAAAATGGCCAAATGTGAATTTATGAAGTAGAATGCTGCATACATGGGGGTCCATAATACTCGTCTCTCTACATTTGCAGGTGTTTGAAATTTTCCATAATAATTGCAAATTCCTTTTAAAAAAGCAAGTTGACCCTAAGCCCTAATGAATGGCCTTTGACAGACTCCTCCTAAATTTGTCTAGGGTTGATAAAGGTTAACGAGGGCCAGAGCGGTGTGTGTGTGTGTGTGTGCACACACGCACGCACACACAGGTTTTAGAGTAGTGCAAAAGCACGCAAAAAGAATCACCAAGAGAGCTTGTTAAAACAGATTCCCTGTCCCCAACCCCAGAGGTTCTGATTCAGCAGGCCTGGGGTTGGGCCTAAGAATGAGCATTTCTAACATGCTCTCAGGAGATGCTGATGCTGCTGGTCTGCGGACCACACTCCGGTTTCAGAGAACAGGAGTACCAAAGCTCAGACGCCTTTAATAATGTGGTAATAAATTATCCTCCTTACCCAGGAGGCCCCTTGCCCGACCTTCTGTCCCCCACTCCCCCTGCCCCTTGGCACAGCCCCTACTGCCACTCCCTGGGACCATGAAACATTACCTTCTGCTGGATTCATTACCGCATCGTGGAGCAGGGTGGCCATACTCCCAGCTATCCCTGCAAAAGAAACTCCAGAAAATTACCCTCTGGGACCGGGCGTTCTGAGGAAGTTCCTGGAAGCTAAATCAGATGGAACCCTGGACAAAGCTTTCTAAGCAAAATTCACTAACAACTCCACCCAGGTGAGCACTGATGCTCAAAACCCTACAGTGATCATGGGAACGTTGGATAAAAAGGGGCACGGTGACCCACACTTTCATCAGGCAGAAACCTCATCTTCTCTTGTGGAGTCAACCCGGGGAAAAGGCCGGACCTGCTCATAACGGATGGCACCCAGAAACCACACTGCATGGCTTTTTCCACCGTCTAGATTTTAATTCTCTTTGTCCCTCGCCTCTGTCTACAGATTAAGTCACTCTGCCCTTAAATTGGGGCAATCAAAGGGGATGATTTCATGTAAGTGGCTGAGAGGGGAAAAAGTCAGAAGAGCAATCTTTAAGAAAATTCCTTAATAAAGTCCAGGCATTTTTAAGAAAACGGGCGAGGGGAGAGGACACAGGAAGCTCTGCATATGGTAGACTTCCAGGGGAGTCTGCAAAGCCATGACCTGTCTCGGGGATGGCCGACCCAGCTGAGGGTCTCACTTGAAGGGGCCTGGCTTCAAGAACCAGGAAATTTACACACTGTTATAAACCAATGTGACCTCAATAAAATAATTAAAAAAAAAAAAAAGAACCAGGAACTTCAAAAGCCTGATTCAGGCCTGGAATTCTGCTTTTGGCTTTGGGTTGCCTCCCTCTGTGGGTGACACCGCCCGGTAACGAACGTGACCGCTGGAAGGTGGGAGGAATGAGGAACACCAGGACAACACTTCAGAAATGCATTTCTATGCTCCGCCCTCCTCCACATACACTTATGATCATCCCCAGAAAGGTCCAAACATAACCACAGCACACACCACAATGAAGCCGTAACAGCACTGGGCAGAACCTGGCATAAACTGGGTTCCGTCAAACTGCCTTCAAGGGTTCAGGGACCAAGGAGCTCTACCACAACACAAGGCAGTTTCAGCAAAGGGGAGGCACAGACTTGGCGACAGCCAGGCTCTTAGTGACCGTGTCTAAGAACGCAACTAACGGCCAATTTTTAAAAAGCAAACCAAATGTCTGCAAGCCAGCCAGGTGGAGTTATTAGCACCAGGTTTGCTGATGGAAGGGGCGCTTTTTGGTTCGGAGTCAAACAAAAAGAGAAGGGAAAAAAGCTGTTGCTGGTACATCTACTCTCCACTGTTGAAAAATAATTTTGTTAAAATAAGTACACCTTACACTGCTATGGATAGCCCCCTTCACACCCAAACAAAAACCAACAAAAGCCAAACCCACAGGAGAGGCGACAAGCGCTCGGCGGGCCCGGAAGACATGCCCACATAAGAGCTGCCCACAACTCAAGCCCCCAGCCCGCCTCGCTCCCTCCAAACAACAAAAGGAAACGATGTCAGCCCTTGCTCGCAGAGATGTAGCTCAGACACACGGAAGAGAGCGGGGCGAGATCCCCAACCCCCAGGAGCTTAAGGTGGGAAAGGCCGTCTGCGCTGCAGCAAATCCTTTGTCAGCCATAAAACTTCTTGACCTTTTAAAGCTTAGTTAGATCTTGACGTTGTAGAGACCTGTTGAACCAGTTTTTAAATAGTCTCAAAGAAGCTGTCCAGATAGCTTTTTTTTTTGAATCCAGCATTCAAAAGTTTTGTTTCTATTCAGGGTTTTTTCCTAGATCTGATCATTAATTGCTTTTGAATGTGTAAAAAAACAAAACGAAAAACCCACGCAACAATGAAAACCGAAACACCTCTGTCACTGATTTTCCCCAGGCTTCAGAAAGCGGAGGAGGGGAACGGAAAGAAGCGTGTGTGTGTGTGCGCGCGTGTCTGGGTGTGTGTGCACACACAACTCTAGAGTTCTTTATTCGTAAGCAAGCGTGGCGGAGACGAGGCGTCAGGCTGCTGGGTCACGGGGAGGAGAACCCTGGGGAAGGGTCTGTTGAAGGAGAGAACTTTCTAACTCCAGACAAACGCTTTCAAATACCGTTGGCTAGGTGGCTGTTTCCTTGGTGGTGGAAAACGTCATTTAAAGTCCTTTTCATGTTTTCATAGCAGGCAAAATACATGGCGTGGGCCGGGCCTGCGCCCATTATCATCACGTTGAGACCTCGCAAGGGCCTCCAGAAGCCTTCAGTCCGCACGATTTTCCTGAGGGCTCCGTAGACATTAGTGTACTGGGCTCTGGGATCTGGATTCAGACTCTGCATTCGTGTCTGGGAGAAGGCGAGAAAACAAGAAAAGAATGGGAGTTAACGAGGACGGTAAGGAGAGAAAAGAAGACCCAGAGAGAGTGAGAGGAACAGTCCATTTTCATCATTTCACAGGATTTCTTGATCAAGAAAACATTTACTCTCTCCCTCCTGGACTCCTCCCTCCCCGCACACACATTCACATGGATTTCATCATATCCAGCAAAGGGCGGAAAGAACGAGGCTGGATTTGCAGTAGGAAGACCTGCCCTGCCACTGGCAAGCTGTGTGACCTCTGATGAGTCCCTTAACCTCTCTGGGCCTTAGGATCCTCAATTAAAAAAACAGGATTGTCGTGAGCATCAAATAAAACAATGGGTGGGAAGACCCTTAGTAAGCTCAGAGACCTAGTCAAATATAAGTATTATTATTACCCTGTGGTTCCCACTCCGGTTCTGAAATCTTCTGCATCCTCGCTTAGCTGAGGTGTCTGTGTTCTGAAAGCTCCTATTCAGCCCTACCATGAAATCTCCCCAGAATCCTCCAGCCCTCACCCCCTCATCTCCTCTGAATACTCTTTACACTTAGTCTTTACAAGTTAGCACTAAAATATAAACGGTCTTGTTCTGAATTTCCTCCCATGTATAGTCTTGCCTCCTTGAGGCAGAGACCCAGCTTTCCCCACCTCTGTGATCCCATCATGCTGCCCAGGCACTTCAGTAGGTGTGATCATTAATCTTATGTTGTCAACCTGGCAAGGCCACGGCACCCACACTGGCTCCAACTGTGGTCAAACACTAGTCTAAATGTTGCTGTGAAGATATTTTTTAGACATGATTAACATTTAAATCAGTAGATTCTGAGTAAAGCAGATGACCCTCCATGGCGTGGGTGGGCCTCATCTAATCAGCTGAAGGCCTGAAGAGAAAAAAACTGACGCTTCCCAAGGAAGAAAAAATGCTGTCTCCAGATAGTCCTTGGACTTGAGTTGCAACATCAACTCTTCCCTGGGTCTCCAGTCAGCCTGCCCTGCAGATTATGGACTTGCTAGCTTCCACAAATGCATGAGCCAATTTATATACACACACATACACACACCCTATTTGGCTCTGTTTCTCTGAGGAACCCTGACTAGTACAGTAGATAAGAAATATTTGCCAGGTGAAAGACCAGCGCTGGCTCAGCCCTGCAAAAGCAGCAGCATTTGCTCCTCCACACCCCTCCCCCCAACACACACACCGTCAAGAGGAGAGGGTCTCCAACCTTTGGTAGGGATATCCTTTTATCTCCAAACAAAATCATACAGAAAACTAACATATAAAATGCAAGAAGGGCTTCCCTGATTGAAAATGGGGCAAAGGGCCCTGGGCCCTCCTCTCACTCCTCAAGGCAGAGAACCGCCTCCCCCCAGGAACCCCAGGGCCCAGAGGAACAGCGTGAAAACCAATAGCCTAATTGGTGCTCATTTTCAGATTTTAGATTTCACCAGCTAGTAAAACCGCAAAGAAAATGGGCACATCATTGGCAACTTCTGATTTTTCCAAGAAAGGACATAAAAACAATAACAATATAAGCAATAGTCACCATCGCCCTCTATTACAATCAACATTTCCTAAAAGAAAGGACATTTTTAATGCTTAAAAGAAAGCAGACTACCTCTGATTATAAAACTGTTCTTTAAATTAAATTTAGCTTTATTAAAAACTCACTGCTTTACCCTTTTTTTCTACCACAGACTGGTGAAAATGTCCCCTGGCCCAGCCCAAGGCAGCCCCGGGACACCCGGACCCCACATTCGGGGTGGGGGTGGGGGGATGGGAATGGATAGGGTCAGGATGGGCTCAGTGTCCCGTACCTTTTTGTTTAATTGTTTTCTATTGTAACCCTTTTCAAAAAGGATTTGACGCAGCTTAATAATGGAGGATACATTAGAAGCAAACAAGACCAAGGGAAGGAGAAGCGAGCGAATGTGCCAGTCAAGAGGGCACCTGACTGGTCACGACACCCCCACTTTGCCCGAGTGCACTGCTCGCTGGAGCAAAGGAAGCACTCGAAATGCAAAGCACTCACTTTGGGAGGGGCAACACTGCTTCTTCAGGGACAGCAGACGTTCTCCAGCACTAAGTTCTAAAAGTTATTTGAAATCACTCAAGTTTTAGAGCAAAGAGAGCTTTCTATTTCACCCGGCTTTTTCCTATAATTGCCCCTGATGAAAAGCAGGAGCGTGATGCAGGAGGTGGGGCAATACAGTGGTCCAGAACGCAGGCTTGCTTATCAGAAAGAACTGGATTCGAATTCAGATTCCATCACTCATGGTGTTACCCTGGGCACGATGGTTACCCTCTCTAAGCTTTAGTTCCCTCCTCTGAGAGAATGCTTGAGAAAACTAAATGTCTGTTACCTTTCTATTACTACCATTATTATTAATAACAATAAAGGATTCATCAAGAGGCTAAGGAATATGGTTCTAGTATATAACTGACCCTGCAGACACCTAAGCTCCATGCAGGGGGCATTGCATCTGCCTATTCGCAGCAGATCTCCAGTGCCTATTGTGTCTAATTCACAGCGGGAGCCCATAAATATATGTTGAGCAAATGGATGAACAAACACGTGCAATTTAGGATACCAACTAGGGTGAAGGGTACTGCATCTCTGACTTCACCTCCTCCTAAATATGAGCATGCTTTCCCAGAGGCACCCATCCCTCCCCTCACCCTTTGTCTAGATCTTTCCCTACGGATAAAAAGTCCACATTTTGCTGCATTTCTCAAGCCCAGGCTGTGATCTGCTGAGCTACAGCAGACGCTACCTTGGGCCTGTCAATAGGGGTGGCTCCTGCCGGCCCCATTCCCAGAGGGGAAGCCCGCCTTGGGGAAGGATTGCAACAGCTGCCTCTGCCTCCTCCCTGCTGGTTTCTGGCCTGGGGAGACAAGACCAGCCCGTAGCGGAAGGCCTTGCTTGGGTCCAGGCGGGTAGAAACGAAGGAGGGCCTCGCAAGCAGGGATGGCAGTGCGAAAAAACACACAGGCCTCGGAGCAAGGAGCTGAGAGCCTGGACTCTGGACCTGACACTGGCTCCCAGAGGGCCACGTGGCCTTGGCTACGGCATCTCATCTCACTGGTCCCCAGTGTCCTCAAGTGGAAAATGAAGGCGAGGATCAGAACAGTGGCTGATTATCAGAATCACCTGGGAAATGTTTAAAAATACCTATCCCAGCACCACCCCAACATGTATTGATTCAAACTTTTTTTTTAATTCCCCAGATGATTCTGATTATCACTCAGTTTGGAGAACCATTAAATAGAGGCCCCTTCCAGCCCCAGCACCTTCTAATAACCTTCTCCATCCAGCCTCGGCTCCGTGAGGAGGAGATGGGGAGAGGGTGTTGGGGGCGGGTGGTGTGTGCTGAGGGGGCAGAGGTAGGAGCAGTGGGGACACGGTGCCAAGGCTTTAGAGCCAGCTGATGTCGTTGGTCTGAATTTCAGCTCTGGAACCTTCAGCTTGTTCCTCAATCTTGGGGCGTGGAATAATCCCCAGAGAGCTGTTGGCAGGCGGAGTGCGATACTGTGGGAAATGCCTGGCTCCGGCTGGCAGTCAGCAATGATCGTCCCCCTCCTCCCACCCTTTCTAAGAGTGAAGGCATCAGGAGGGTCTCTCCTTCACAAAGCTGCACACGTCGGCCAGCGCACGTCGACGTACAGGGGAAATCTAGGACTGATTTCTCACCTCCCCCTTGTTTAAATTAGGGGTGAGGCAGTTGGAGTAAATGTTACTGAACCAAAACATACCATCCTCCCATGGAAGAGAAAAGGACAACTGGGTATCTGTGCACGTTCAGTGGACTTCTCTGTCCTTAGGGGTGGTCTACTCAAGGGCAGGCCACGTCTAAAGACCCATGCCCGCAACAGAGGCAAGTGGCCTGTGAGCGTGGAGGAGGACCCAGTGAAGCCCCCTCTGGGCCCACCACAGCCATGGTGGCCAAGTTTTGGGCCGGAGCCTGTGTAGTCCTAGAGCACCTTCATTTCTTCAACCTGCCTGCAGGGAGCACCCACTCGGGGCCAGGCACTGGATACAGAAAGGAAAAGTCGACGGGGAAATAAACAAGGAAAGCGTGAGATGAGGGAGAATGACATGGATGGCGTGGGGTGTCAGGAAGAAGCTCAGAGAAGAGAGCAGGAGTGACCAGTCCAGACCATTAGGGTCATGGAAGCTTCCTCAGAAGAGACGCCGAGACAAGCCAAGGCGGCCAGGTAAGAAGGGAGGCAGAAGCGGCCAGAGCCAGAGAGGAGATAATCAATGCAGTCTTTCTTGTTCTTTCTCAGTCACTCTGCCTGTAAAACGTACAAGTGAGGGCTAGGCATCTTCTCTGTACCTGTGGACTGATGAAGGAGAAAAAGTTAGGGGTGTAAGTCCATCAACGGATGAATGGATAAGCAAAATGTGGTCTATCCACACAATGGAACATTATCCAGCCTTAAAAAGGAAGGAAATTCTGACACACACTACAACATGGATGAACCTTGAGGACATTATGCTAAGTGAATAAGCCAGTCACAAAAAGACAAATACTGCATGATTCCACTTATATGAGTCACCTAGAGTAGTCAAATTCATAGAGACAGAAAGCAGAATGGAGGTTCCCAGGGGCTGGAGGAGGGGGAATGGGGAGTTATTAATTAATGGGGACAGAGTTTCGGTTTTGCAAGAGGTACAGTCCTGTGAATGGATGGTGGTGATGGTTGCACAACAATATGAATGTACTTAATACCACTGACTGTACATCTAAAAATGGGTAAGATGGTAAATTTGACGTTATATGTATTTTACCACAATTAAAAAAAAACAAGTCAGGGTATGAGGGTAGAGAGAAGGAAAAAAAAAAATGAATAAATTAGGATGCACAGAAAGAGGGCAGAGATGGAAAAAAAACACAAACGGAGACAGAATTTCACAAACGCCTTTCCTGTCCTGGGTTTCAGTTACTGCTCACAGACTAGCTGCATGGTTCTCCCATTCCCTTA